AAGGAAGGAAGGAAGGAAGGAAGGAAGGAAGGAAGGAAGGAAGGAAGACTGCATCATCTACCCCCTAACATTTAGATGGCTTTGGACACCTTAACATCTCTAGGGGGTATCACTTGCTGCTCTGGTGGAAAAGCTTGACTAGTAACTCCTTTAAAACTGTCACCTTTAGAGACTGTCAAGTCTGAAGATATATCTAAAAACTAATCCAAGCCATAAGGCAGCATTGTTGTTCAAGATTGACATTATCCTACTTTCTTAGCCACTTTTCTTTTCTTTTTCTTCTTATGCTTTTTTCCAGAAGCACAAACCACAATTTTGTAGAACCACAGGGTTATTAAAGAACCTTAATTAATTCAGATTAATGTCAGGCTGTATCTGGGACACCCATCCACCCAGTCCTTTATTACCAATTCAGTAAGCTATAAAAAATAAAAAATAAAGATTCATATTGTACAGTATATGAGTGGCTGGTGCCCTCTTATGGTCAGGAATTGACACAGCTTATCTCTGTGATTGTGTAATCCTCACCAATACAATACATTATGAATTTTGCTGATGGCTCTGGTGTAGAAATATTTCACAGTGCCATTTTTAAATAACCTAAATAGCTTAAAATGTGTGATCTTGGTTGACTTGCCTTTAGAGTCCTAGTTGGATCCCAAAGGCAGTCAGTCAAACAACAAAACATTTTTAGAAAAGTTCTAGCAGGGTCTTTGAAAGTGTTTTGCTTCGGAAAAATTCTCTTTGTTCGCTTCACATGCAACCCATGCCCCACTTAATGACCTGCAGGGTCTTTAATGTCCTCCTCGGGGAGACAGGGCTGGGGGTCATTATGTGAGGCAATCACCTGGGTGCCTCACCTAATAACTGTCATGACTTGCAATCATAATGGCAGGCTCTGTTATGACCATAACTCAAGAACTATCTGTTCTGCTTGGCTATTTCGAGGCGTGAAGCTTCTACAGGAGAAGTAAAAAAAAATGCTCAAGCGATTTGTTTCTCTTAACCTTTGGAAAGAAGGCAAAGAAGGTTGCAAGAAAATTGTGCAAGGACTAAAAGCACAGCACCGTAAAATGGCCTCTCCATTCAGAGGCCATTTTGAAATAAGAGCAGTAAATATCTAGTGAGACATAACATTCTTCAATATGCTGGAGTTACAAACAAGGATTTCTATAGGTAGCCTTCAACTTACAACTGGTTGCACAACAACCATTCAAAAATATAATGGACCCTCAAAAAGGTACTTACATCCTGGATTCTTAGTTCCAATAGCCCTCCTATCATGTGACTGCATTTTGGATGCTCGGCAACTCACCTGCATTTACGGGTTCGCTTAACAACTGCAATGTTTGCTTAATGACCATCATGTTCGTTTTACTGCCACAAAAGTTGTAAAATTGGACACGGTCATGTGATAAGCTTCTCAACAACTTAGTTACAATTACAGGCCCAATTATGGTCATAAGGACTACCTGTACATATAATCAGATATGTAAATCATGACACAGTCTCTGACAGTATTGTATTTTTTCTCTCTCCCTTTTTCAAGTTCATCTTGAGGTACTCATTCATCAAATGTATTCATTCAGATGAATACATTTCTGTGAAAGAACAACTTAATTTATTGACAGTTAAAGATAACAGGAAGCAGGACAGAATTACCTAAAAAGTGGTTAGGTTACAGTCTCTCTTTATAGAATTAGGCAAATTAAAGCATGTTATGATTTGACAGAGCTATCAAGCATTTCATAGGATAGGACATATCATCTGCCTCATGAAGTCAGTGAGGCCATTGACATAATAGGGAAGGATAACAAAATCAATGGGGGGTTGTAAGGGCAAAAAGGCAGTTACTCCGTGAACATTTTTTCTTTCTAGGGAGTTATTTACTTTTGCTTTCCAGAGCTCTGCTCATCACCCAATATCTTTTCCTAGTTTATCAGAATTTCTTGGTTTTCTAAATGTTTGATGGCTGGATCTTCCGGTTTGCAAGGCTTCGGCGGTGGCAGGAATCCGCGATCGTGTGCGGTTTCTGCTGCGCTCGCCGCTGGAGTGCCCCCGATCCAGCCGGATTTGGGGGCTAATAGTTACCCCCTAGAGGTAACTGAAGATAGGGGAGATCCAGCAGGGGTCTGGGGGAATCGCAACCCCCCTTTTCCGAAAGCGGTGGAGCGGCGGTCAGCAATGGCCGCCACAAAGAAGCTTTCGTCCGGATAAGAATGTGCAGGAGGAAGCTGACAAGTGAAAGTTTTTGGCTGACTGGGATAATAAGTAACATTTAAATACCTTGGAATTTTAACTTCATTAAAGATACATCGTTCCCAAAGAAGATCGGAAAAAGCGGCGGATGAAAGTTAAAAGGGAATGGGTTTTTTTTTCTCACTCTCCTTCCTTACGGTGATAGCAGATGGAAATCGGAAAAAACCGTTTTGGCACCAGCAGGTAATTAAACTTGAAAGTTAAAGCCAAGGGGACATTAAAGATTTCTGAACATTGGAAAAAAGAAAAAAAGAAAAAAATTTTTTTTCTATAAGTGGGAAGGGAGAGGAAAAGAATTAATATTAAGATTTTGCTGGAGGAGGCTGCTTGGAACTTATAAGACTAGAGTTAAATTGTAACAAGACTTCTAAAAGATATATTTTGGAACTTTGCAATTGAACTGTACCCCAGGAAGAGAAAGTATAAAAAGAAGAAAGTGCTAAATGAAACAGTTTGTGTATTGGATTGCTTGGTGACTTTGGGACCTTTGGAAATTATTATTTGAAAGACTAAAAACATTTGGGTTGTTTAAAAAACTTTTTCACAATGGCATTACTGGTTGATGAACTGAAAATGGAATTTAAAAAGCTAAAAGAAGAGGAACAAGAAGGGAAGGGCTCTTCTGGATCTGTTTTTCACTTTTTAGAAATGGCGATTTCTACCTATCAGAAATTACAAGAACAAGAAGGTTGGGATGAAGAAGAAGAAGCCATTTTTAATGAACAAACAACTTTAGCTGGGGAAGAAAAGGGAAAGAGGGGAAAGAGAATGGAGAATTTAAGACTTAAAAAAATAACCAAAAAAGGGAAAAATAAGGCTAAATGTTTGATGGCTAAATTAACAGTTTTCCCTTTGGTGCGGCTATAGCACTTTTACCAACAATAACAGATCTCAGTCAGCGTTTTCCCCAACAGTGCTCTGAGTATGTTATGCAATAGTTTGCAGGTCATTCCACTCTGGTTTCCTTTTTAGACAAACTTTTGAACAAAGCACTGGGTGCTTTTTGCCACATAGGGTAAAGTCTAAGGATGCAAGTTCATAGGACAGATTCAATTCATATAATGAGTCAACCAAGGATGGAAGAGTTTGTTTTATTTTAACTGACATTAAAATGCCAGTCACATGATCGTAAGGCTCAAGTTCAGCCTTCTTGGATCATATCAATCAACCTATCCGAAACTTCTAGCAAGTAATGATGAACTATTCTGGCTCTCAGCACCTGCAGACTAAGTGTTTCAGTGTCCAGCTTTCAGAATTAAAATTCACCAAAATATTTCAAAATTCTGCAGTATCAGAAGCTGAAACAGCTAAAAGAGGTAAGAGATCTATTTATCAAAGAATTGTTTAGCTTTCCTTTAAAGAGTAGTACATGCTGAAAAAGATATCTGTCACTAACTCTGTATAATGCCAAAATTATCCATGTTTATTGAAGTGTCTTTTTAAGGACACTTAAAAGTCTCCAATCCCAGAAAATATTTGGAGTCACAAATACCAGAAATAAAACTATAAGGAAAGTTGAAGGTGAGTGTGATATTTTTAGGACTTTCAAGATTTTCATGGTTTAAATGCTGGGAATATTTTTTCACTTTCCAAATCTATCCCTATATCTTAGGAATTTCCTATCCCAAGTCTTAAAAGGATCCATCCCTACTTTACCCATGAATTTTGCCACTTCTCTCAGCCTAAAAGGGAAAATTGTTAAACCAGCGCTTTTCACACTTGGCAACTTTAAGATGTGTGGATTTTAACTTCCAGGACAGCAAACCAGCAGGAAAATTCTGGAAATCCACTCATTTTAAATTTGAAAAACACTGTTAAACTGTATTAATCTGAGAATATTCTTGGGGGATACTTCTGTTGTACAACTCTGCAGCTTCATTCAGAGAATGGGGACTTAAACAGCAACATTTTCCCCTTAAAACCATCCTATTTCCCTACCTCTTCATCCAACGTTTTTCTTACCTCACAAAATCTATTAAGGAAGAAAGCTGTGCTATGTGCCTAGTGGGCACATTTGGAATGCAGAGAATATGGTGTGCTACTCTCCCCAATAGTGTATTTTGTGCCGATTTATGTCATTTGTATCTGTATGCAAATGTTGTACAATTCCCAAAAGGATGTGATTTAACAGATGTTCCTGAATAATGAACAGTCTTCCAACAATTAGTCTGTTAAAAGGCTTTATTTTTTAAAAAATACAATTTTTTACAAATTACCAATTACTACTTTACAAATTTCAGGTACTCCTCGACTTGTTACTAGTCATTTAGTGACCATTGAAAATTCCAACAGACATATCTGGGGGTACTTACAACCCAGATTCAAAGTTTCAATGGTCACCCCCACCTCCATATGACCACACTTCAAGCGCTAGGGAAACAGGTCACATTTATAGCCAGTTGAAGGGTCCATGGTCACATAACCATATTTTATGATAGTTTTGCCAAAAAAACCAAAAAACAACCGTCATTTATTTCTGGTTTTCAGCAAAACTGTCCCACAGTGAGCAATTGGTTCACTTAATGACTGTGGCGTTTGCCACACACAAAAAATTGGCTCAGTCACATGACCAACTCTCTTTACAACTGTCACGAGTTACAACCAGGGGTGGGATTCTACCGGTTCGGACCGGTTCTATAGAACCTATTGTTATGATTCTGTGCAGTTCAGAGAAGTGGCAAATCATGCCCCTGTCTGGCCTTGCCCCTTTCCATCCCTCCTCTCCCCACCCAGTCAGTCCTTATCGCGCATGTGTGACATCACGCACATGCCCGACATTGTTGACTGCATTCTTCCCCACCCAGTCACTCCTTAAAGTATTTCTTTTTTTTCCTCCTGACAATCAGCTGTTTCGATGAACATCTGTGCCAGGATCCCCTCGCTGTCTTACTGCTTCACCCAAGAGACTTCCTTGAGGCCTAGGAAGCAAAAAGGGGTGTGGGGGGAGCTGTGCCCCTCCTGTGCTCCATTTTTTGCCTTTCTGTGCCTCAGGGAAGCCTTCTGGGAGCAAAAACACCCCCCAGGAGGCTTCCTGAGGCCCAGGAGGCCCAAAAGCAGAGTGCAGGGGGGGGGGGGGGCAAAAAAAAAGAAGTCACGCCCAGCCAGTCATATGGCCATGCCCACCTAGCCATGCCCACAAAACCGGTTAACAAATTTGACAAACAGTAGTAAAAACAAACAGAAAAAAATAATACAGGATTAGCCTTGGAGCATAGTATCAATCAACCGAAACCCTGCATGGAGTGGCTTTGGGCCAGGGATTCTCATTACTATATTCTCATACCAGCATTACCAACTTCACCTATTGGAAAAAATAGGAGAAGGGAGCACTATGTGTGTTGCCTTGAGCTTTTGTACACATAGTGGGACGCAAATCAAATGCGTATCAACATAAAGTGTGGAGTCACTCTCAATATAGTTTTGATATTCGGTGATTAAAGACACTACCTGAGCATAATTGCCATTCACACCCTGTATGGTTTCATCCTCACAAATGTAAAGGATCCTGTGGGCAAGGAGCCAATGACTTAGCATATAGTCTTATCATAGTTTACTCTTTTCTTTGCTTATTTCTGATTTCTGTCTCTTAATTTTCTAGCTCTGTTTCATTATTTGTTTCTTAGAGTTAAATTTAATCTTTTGTTCAGGAACTGAAGAGGAGGTGCATAATATCCCATCCACCCACCCTACTCCAGCAACAAGTAAACAATCCTTCCACTCTCCAGTCTCTCTTTTAAAAACCTTACATTGGCTCCAGGCTGAAAAGAACAGGAATCAAGTAACGAAGAAGAGAAAATCTGCAGCTTTTTCCCCAGAAAGGAAAGGGGGGAAATACTTTATCTCCAAAATATAAATCAAATAGAAACTTGTGCTGCAGAATGGAAGATGCTGGATCTTTGCAAGTTTTAGCTTATTTATCTTGTATATAAATTTTTATTTTTTTACAAACATATCATTGTGTGAACAGTGTGGTACTGGACTATCTTCCATTTTAAAACAAATATAACGATAGTCTTCATATTCAATACAGTTGACAATCTTATAAAGTTTCATATTAATACACATATTTCCTTTGATTATTCACCATTTCAATATCTTATTTTTGTGTCAATCTCCATATTCTAAATATCCTTCTTTTTACTACAAATAAAATATTATTAATCATATTTGTAGTGTTTAACAAAGTTATGTGATTCTAATAATTCACCAATTTGTATTGAGTTATAATCTTCCATTATTTATCCCTTTTCTAATTTTTAATTATGCCACTATTATACAGTATTTAAAAATATCCCCTTTCTAATCACATTTTACAACTTATTTAATACAAATAACATTTGACAAGTTATATAATTCTAATAATGATAGTTGTTTTTATCAAATTATAATCTTTCATTATTCTCTTATTTAATATTTCAGTATGTTATTTTTATGTCATTCAAATTCTGCATAGCACTCTTTTTTCTGCAGATAGAATGTTAATATTCATATTTTTTACATTCAACAATCTTATATAGTTTAATAATACACATATTTATGTTGAGTTATATTCTTCAATTGTTTGATTATTCGATATATCATATTCAAAATTACCCGCATTGAAATTCTAAAATCCCTTGTTGTTAATTCACCTTATAATATAAAAAAGAATCTATTCCATTAATCCCCCTTTCTCTAACTTCTAATCCTTTTTTATTATCCATCATCTCTCACTCACACTAAAACTTTAATTATTCGTTTCTTGGCTTGTCTCCCATATTCCTCTCTTGGATCTTTAGATCTATCTACTACCACTTCATGGCCCCTCCTCTTAAACATTTCTTCCTTCTCTACCCATTTCCATTACCAGTTCAGTCTATATTGAAACTTTCAGGGGACTTTTTAGTGAAAAAGTTTTTCTTATTCTCCCCTTTAAATCTCCAAAAGCCAGGCCTTTCCAGTATTTTTGGAATATATTGTGCTTTCCTTTGATAGTAGGTGGTGCTCTTACATCAATTTTCACTTTATCTTGTCTTTTTTATTTTTTGTTCAATTTTACTCAAATTTCCCAAAATGTAAATGTAGTATTAACCTTTTATATAGGTACAGTGGTGGTATTCTACCAGTTCAGTCCAGTTCTGCTGAGCCGATAGTGGTGTGAGCAGCGGAGACTGAACCGGTTCTCTCCGCCACTTTGCTGCGGGCCAACCCGCCCGCCCAGGCTCCCATACTCACCTTTATCCTCTGTTTTTCAAGCGTAGCTGCTTTGCACAACACAGCAGAGTTCCGTGTAGCAGCTGCTGAAATGACCAGGAGAGTGCAGGCTTGCAGGAGGTGAGTTGGAACGCCTCTACGCCTGTGCAAAGTGCATGTTTGGCACTGTATAGGTAGTTCCAGCATTTTACAATGCCTATCCACAGCCAACATTTGTCCAATTTAAAAGTCCTATTTTTTGTATTTTTAGCAACTTTTTTATTTTTTTCCTTTCCCTTCCATTTGAAAATATAATTTTACTCACAATGTTAGGACGCCACCACTTTAACTATAGTTCTGAGCGTCTCTTTTTCTGAATCTTCTTTTTCTTGGGGTTGACCTTAGATAAAAATGATTTTTTTCACCCAGTTCCAGACACTGTTCACCAGCTCCCCTCCAGCACGCTTCTTAGTTGTGAAGCTGTCTCCAGCTGTGTGGCAGCCATTTTGGCTGCCTCTTCTTCCTGCCGTGGTGATCTCTGGGGTTCTACAGGGGAGTAGAGGATACCCGTCTTTGGCTTCACCGCCCCTCCAAGGCAGTTTAGACTTCTTCTGCAGCCCACGGACAAGAAGCCAGCCCAGGGAAGAAAAGCACCGTTCCCTTGTGACTGGTGTTGCCGCGACATCACTTCCAGTCTTTTAGCTTATTTATCTGACTGCCTGCTGATTGGGGAATTCTGAGAATTGAAGTCTACACATCTTAAAGTTGTCAAGGTTGAGAAACACTGCCCGACTGTTTAAGTCAGGGGTGTCAAACTCGTGGCCTGTGGGCCAGATGCGTCACACACTGGCCACGCATACCCCCCGTTTAGGGCGGGGAAAAAAGTCACAATACATCATGTGATGACAACATGATGCTGCAAGTTTGACATCCCTGGTTAAAGTCCTAGCTGGGCTCCACGTGCAGCCAACAGATAGCTAAAGCTGGCAAAGATCCAGCATCCTCCATTTTCTGGCACAGCTTTTAGAGATGACTTTTTTTTTTTTTTAAGTTCAGGATGAAAAGCTGCAGAAAGATTTTATCTCCTTGCCAGCTCGGTTCCTCTGCTCTTCAGCCTGGAGTCAAAGCAAGTTTTTTTAAAAGGGATAGAAATTGGAGACCAGAGGGAGAGTTTACTTTTAGCAACTAAATGGGGCAGGGATGGAAGAGCAACAAGTCAGTCCCTCCCAGCTTTTTTTTTAATTGAAGAAATGTGGCTTTTTGAGGAAGGAGGGAAAGGCGTTAAGGACAGAAAAAGGTTTTGGGAAGCTTACTGCCTTTTGTGCAAAGGCCCTCTTCCCAAAGCCTAGAGATGCGGGAGAGCTTTGCAGTGTGCTCATGGACAGCTAATGAATGGAGAGCTGATTAGCGAAGATGCCCCAAAGGGCTAGAAAACTGTGTTATTGTTGTTTTGCCCTAGAAAAGCAGGGCACCTTGGCAGGAGGAAGGGCAGAGGCAGAATTAGGAAAGGCACGTGCACTTTTCCTTCCTCATTGTTTCTCAGGACAGCATGCAAGACATTCAAGGGGTGGGAAGCATGGCTATCTCAGGGTAAGGGAGCCCTTGGGAGGCCTGAGGCCAGGTAGGTTAGTGCCTGCATTATCTCCCCCACTCCTGCTTAATAACCTGTGCATTCGTTTAATGAATGCACTGGAAAAAGCAGGGATGGCTGATCATTACTTGAGCCAGTCCATTTAACATTGTCCTGATCTTCAAACGGAATGGGCAGGCTCCATTAGGGTCATAACTTGTATGGTTGCAGTGTCTCACCATTTTCACCATTTGCATCTTCCTGCCAGCTTCCCCCTTGACTGTCCTGAACAGAAAGAGGGTTGCGAAGTATAAATGATTAACACATGATTGTGGGATGTTGCAATGTCATAATTGTGAGCCAGTCGCCAAGCATTCAAATCATGATCACATGACCATAGGGATGCTGTGATGGCCCCAACTATGGGGGCCTATAAGGACCTATCATAAGTATATCTTATTCAGTGGCCTTGTACCTTAAAAATGGTCACTGAACAAGTGGACATTAAGCAATGACTACCTGTATTAAAAGCTCCGGGGAAGTAGACGTAGGTGAGTTATGAGGAAGAGTATCCTGATGGTAAATGTTGCCAACCAATGGGAAAGGTTGTCTCATAAAAGGCCATGTTCCCTTTCACCAGACTATTTAGGAAAAGCTGAGATGATGCAACATAATATAATTCCATGAATTATATAATTATATAACACGAATTGGCTGCTGACATTTTTAGATTATAGATAATCAGAGTTGGAAGGGACCTTGTAGGTCATCTAGTCCAACCCCCTGCCGCCCAAGCGGGAGACCCTACACCATTTCTGACAAATGGCAGTCCAATCCCTTCTTGAAAGTCTCAACTGATGGCGCTCCCACAACTTCCGAGGGCAAGCTGTTCCATTGGTTGATTATTCTCACTGTCAGAAAGTTTCTCCTTGCTTCCAGGTTAAATCTCTCCTTGTTCAGTTTCCATCCATTATTCCTTGTCTGGCCTACAGGTGCTTTAGAAAATAGCTTGACCCCTTCCTCCCTGTGGCAGCCCCTCAAATATTGGAAGACCGCTATCATGTCTCCCCTGGTCCTTCTCTTTACTAGACTAGCCAAGCCCAATTCCTGCAACCGTTCGTTGTATGTTTTAGCCTCCAGTCCCCTAATCATCCTGGTTGCTCTTCTCTGTACTTTTTCTAGAGCCTCAACATCTTTTTTATAATGTGGTGACCAAAACTGGATGCAGTACTCTAGGTGTGATCTTACTAAGGCTTTATAGAGTGATATTAGTACTTCCCTTGATCTTGACTGTATCCCTTTGTTAATGCAATTTAGGATTGCATTAGGATTATTGAAGCTATTTCATTAATATGCAGGATTTTTCTGGCTTACAGTTCATTATTTTGCAGGTTTTAGCTATGTTGCTCTACCTGGTTGCCCTGGTAGGGCTTTACATCCTCTGCCAGTGGTACCGGGAAAGACAAAAGGTGGAGAACCTGACGGAGAAATATGTCTTCATCACGGGCTGTGATTCTGGCTTTGGGAATCAGCTGGCCAGGCAGCTGGATGCTCGGGGTCTGTGGGTGTTGGCAGCTTGTCTCACTCCAGAAGGGGCAGAACAACTGGAAAAAGTCACATCGGCTTGTTTGAAAACCACCCTACTGGATGTCACTAGCAGTGAGAGTGTTGCAGCAGCAAGTGAGTGGGTGGAGAAGCAAGTAGGAGACAAAGGTACAGTCTAAATATTGTTCTTTCTGCATGAGGCCAATTGGACCTAACTGCTTTTATTTATTTACTCCACTTTTATTATTTTTAGAAATAATTCAAGATGGTGAATGTACATAATACTGTTTCTTCCTCTTATTTTCCCCACAATAACAACTCTGTGAGGTGAGTTGGGCTGAAAGAGAATAACTGGCCCAAAGTCACCCAGACAGCTTTCATGCCTAAGGTGGAACTCAAAAGTCACAATCTCCTGGTTTCTAGCCTGGTACTTTAATCACCTAGTCAACTTCCTTCCATTCACCCCCAACCAGTCAGAGCTGAAGAAGCTTCTTGGATGAGAAGCAAAACATCTTCAAAGAAAAACCAGAAAGTCCAGTTGCCTCTTGAAAAACCACCTTTGGGACAACCATGACCTGGATGACTGACAATCTCCACAGACATCCAATAATGTATTTGAACGACCTTAGAATCAAGTTGCCTTTCAATCTTTGCATAACCTATTCCAGTGGTCACCAACCGGTGGGCCGGGGACCACTGGTGGTCCACGAGAAAATGTTGGTGGTCCGCAGAGAAATGTCACCCCCAAAGCACCCCCCAAAGCAATTAATCCAGGCTGCGTGGAAACACAAGGCTTTACCACCCACATGGCCCATGGGAACACAAGGCTTGCATCACTTGCATTGCGAACAACACGAGATAGTGAGGGAAGGGGGGAAAGGGCGGAGGAGGGGAACTTGCCCCACATGTCTCACCTGGCCACCAGGCTGCTTCTTTCTGCTTCTTTCTTCTTCTGCTTTTGGCTGCATGCAAGGAAAGCAGCAAAGGTCTTTCTTTCTCCTCCCCTAACTCCGCCAGAAATGAGTCTTTGGGACCCTGCAAGGCATCCTGCTCCAAGAGGCTGTGCCGGCGCGACAAGTCTCACAAAGACTCATTTCTGGTGGAATTTGGAGGAGAGAAAGAAAGACTTCTGCTGCTTCTGCTGTTTTCCTTGCATGAAGCCAAAAGTCTCTCCCCCTCTCCCTCTCCCTCCCTCCCTCCCTCTCTCTCTCTCTCTCTCTCCCACCAACGTCAGCAAACCACCGTCAGTCAAAATTCATATTAGTGGTACATGGAATTTAAAATTATGAGTTTGGTGGTCCCTGAGGTCCAAAAGGTTGGCAACCCCTGACCTATTCCATAGTGAAATTATTATAAACCTCCCTCAATATTGTTCACAAAACTTATTTTGCAAAAAATCAGTGGAGCTACCATATCACTATGTCCCAAGTATCAGCAGGCGAAAAACAGCCCTATTGAAAATACCTTCCATGTAAATAGTCGTAATTCATCTTAGTAATAAAAAATTAGAAAAATTGTTGCTGGCTGTTTTATTCAGATAACTAAAGATATAAGAAAAAAATAGCTTGATGGACCTCTTGAATGCATGGTGAAAATATAAGTGTCTAGAAAAAATATATCTAATATGGTAAGTAGTTCAATGGTAAAGATTTTAAAGATTTTGCTAGTTCAAAAACTACAGGTGCAATCCTAAACTTGGTGGCCATAACCTGACTTAGAACTGGGAAGTGAGTTAATGTGAGCCACCTAATTTCTCCTTGTAGGGGAGATGATACATAGATTAGATTAGATGAATAGATAGATAGATAGATAGATAGATAGATAGATAGAGAGAGAGAGAGAGAGAGACAGACAGACAGACAGACAGACAGACAGACAGATTCGATAGATTAGACAGATAGACAGACAGACAGATTAAACAGACAGACAGAAAAATATAATGTAACTTTGTGGGGAGGCGGGTTGTGGTTGTCCAGGTATAGTAAGGAAAATGTAATGCTGTGGCTCAGTTTTAATGCCAAAAAACCTTCAGTTTATAATATGAATCAACATGAACAGAAGATATCTGAAGATATCTTCAAAATAATATATTGAACCATCAATTCAATTCTGTATAAGAGAAGTAAGTCTGTTTCCACAGGACTCTGGGGCTTGGTGAACAATGCAGGAGTCTCTTTCCCAATGGCTCCCAACCAGTGGCTGACCAAGGATGACTTTGCAAAGGTGCTAAATGTCAACTTGCTGGGAGTAGTTGATGTGACCCTCCACTTGCTACCCCTCATCAGGAGAGCCAGAGGCAGAGTGGTCAACGTAAGCAGTTTGGCTGGAAGAATTGCCTATAGTGGAGGTGGCTACAGCCCTTCAAAATTTGCACTGGAAGCCTTCTCTGACAGCCTTCGGCAAGTCAATCCCTTGAATATTTATTTCATTCTGTCTCTCCTATGCCTGCTATCACCATGAGAAAGGGGAGATGAAGCTAGAGCTCATCTAGCCTCTCATCTCACAACAAACAAGCTGTGGTTGTTGAATACATAATCACCACCATCTGTTAGCCATCTCATGTTTGGACACTGTCTCTTTGCGGGGGGGGGGGGGGGTTGGACATTCTGGCCAAAAGAAGCATTCATGCACAGCCTCCCAGTAAGTAAATAAATTAAGTTCAAGAACGTAGAAAGCTTGAACATTTTCTATCCAGATTTAAGTCCAGGTGCCTTACTTTCAAAATGAAGCATTGGTAACCCTTGATTTGGCTTCTCTTTCAAATTCCCACACCCTAGCATTTTGGATTTCTGTTTGTTTGTTTGCTTTTAAATTACATGTCATTTAATGGAAATACATGTCATTGCATTATTAAATATTTACCCATTGGCAGTAAAACAAAATGGATATTGCAACAACAAAAAATCATTCCAGTGATTTGCTTTTAAATTTCTCAATTCTGCTTTCAGTGGTGGTGATGATTGGCACGGATTCTTTTTTAAACTGTAACCAATTTTGATTGATGCAGACTCAAAAGATGCTGAGTCAGCTGAATTTTTAGATTTTTAGGGATGGGGATAACTTGCTTTGAAAAAAGCAGATACAAAAGTAAAATGTACACATTTTTTTAGTGCTTTCTGTTGTTATCATAGCATATATTATTTCTATTAACGCTACCATAGAGTTTTCTCTATACTATATTCTATTATTACTTCTATACTCTTTTTATTACTTCTGCTATTATTAGAATAAAGCAGTGCTCTCTTCTTACACTGTTCTGTCTTTAACTCCCTGCACCCTCCAATATTTTTCTTTTCTTTTTTTTCTTCTTTATTAATAATACACAGAATGTTAAGCATTAGCACCTTCCACAATGTGGTTTGTTTTGCTTTGTTGTGCCTCTTCTTTTTCCCCCCCCTATGGATCATTTGGTTTCTGCAAAGAAACAAAAGCTCCATCCATTTGGCTGTTTTCTATGTGTTGCTAGCTCTACAACTTCCAAAGTGCACATCTCTCTCCCACATCCATTTCACAATTGCAGCTTTTATAGGCAACTCTGCAGTGCTGCTAGGGAGAAGAACTCAAATAGGAGGGATGGGGAAGGAACCAAAAGTGCTTGCAATTTTTTCAGCATCCTCCCCTTCCACCTTTTGTATCTGATGATGATATTTCTGACCCCACATGCCCAAACTTGACTGATCTCAAAAAAATGAGTAGCTTTCAATTTTATGAAAATGTTATTAGACTTTAAGGTGCCCAAGATCAAGTTTTGCTTGTAGCGTATATAGTAACTGAATGTGTTTGTAAATCACAGGAACTGAGTTCAGCTTGAAGACTAGAAGACTTCATATGAAGGGTAGCCCAGCTTGTGACATCAAAAATCCTACTGTGGCTGATCTCCAAAAACTAAGGGTTGTTTCAATCTTGAATTGTAGGCAACTAGCAAATCCACAATATAGATCAGGGGGTGTCAAACTCAAGGCTCATGGGCCAGATTTGGCCCACGGGATGCTTAAAACTGGCCCACAGGGCCAGCCTGAAAATATCAAAGGACCAGCCAGCAGTTTCTCTGCCACCCAAAACAGGCCATGGGGGGGGGGGCATGTGCAAGGCCCCCGTGCAGCCCATTTTCGGCCGGCGAAGTGCTGCAGGAGGACTGGATTGGACCAGATTACAATTATGTGGCTTCAAGTAAAGTGCCTGATCTGGATAGAAAGCAAGCAACATCCTACATTAATACTTTGGTTTAATGCCAGATTTTATATATTTAATCTACAATCAATAATCTATTCTATATTCTATTCTGTATCTATAAGTGTCAGCCATTTCTATTTACTATCCTGGAAATTTATCTCTGCTGTTAGATTTTGTTATTTATGATATTGTTGTTGAATATTTATTATTAGTTGAATAATAAAATTATAATAGTATAAATAGCTTTTCTGCCTAAACAAGCAATTTACTATTAAACAATGGGGCATAAATTTAGAAATAAAAAGTTTAATGGAGTATGAAGAATAAGTAATAAACATTTGCCAGTATTATCTGGTAGAAGAGATAGGAAAAGGGTTGTGGTAATTGTGGAAAGAAAGAAGGGAAAAAATGCATCTTGAGCCTGTGTCAAACGCCCACCATGGCCATACCCACTCCAGCCATGCCCCCTATGACCACGTCCACCCCCGGCCACACACACACACAGACACCCAGCCCTCCGAGGTCAAACACAACCCTGATGCAGCCCTCAATGAAATTGAGTTTGACACCCCTGATACAGATGATAGTCAAAAGTATTCTGGAAGAAGGGAGTGTCAAACCACTGTTGCCAGGAAAATTACACAGATGGGTGTGTTAATGACACCCAAGTCATGATACAATCAAGGGAATATTTTATGAAGGGTATAAAATCTCTTTCATAATGAGGTTATTGTAAGAAATAAGGAAATTCAAAAATAAAATGGTATATAACTGTGATGGCGAACCTATGGCATGCGTGCCGGAAGTGGTATGTTAGAAAGAGCCCTGATGAGGGGATGCTACATTCCTTAAAGCTAAGGAAAGATGCCATGTGGGCAGCCAAAATAAGAGGTACGGAGGTTGAGAACATAACGGAAGAAGATAATTCTCCCTGGAGACATCCTAGGATTAGCTGCAACACCTGAGGGCATATCCAATGAGTTTGAAGTTGGGAGGGAATGATTCCCAAGAAGGAGGGAACTTGGGTGTCGAGATTGTATATAAAGTATGTTTTGGAATTCAGGGGTGTGGCTTTTGATTTGAACCTGCTTGTTGAGGTTCTAAAAGGTCACCAGCGCTTTGCAAACTGCCTTTTTATTTTTTTTAATAAATTCTCCTTGTTTTCAACGATCCAAGTTTCTTTCATTGGCTTTGAGTTATTTCCAACAGTTATTATTTAAATTGGTTTGCTGCTATCCTCCAAAGCTGCAAATGTCCTAATTAAATTTCTCTTCTGGATTTTTTTGGTTTGCCAATAGCAAATCACTTCAGGGGATAAAAAGGACAGTATTTTTTATCTCCTTTATTGTTTGAGTCACTTTCTTTCATTCAGCTCTTAGGCTATCAAACTCTTGTTTTCATAAATTCTAGCTGAGTTCTGGGATTATTCTCAGGGGCGGAAAAGTCTTCAGTTAAAAAAAAGCAGAAGAAAAGCACATTTGGAGATCTGGTAAGATGGAGCAAGGAATGATTCTAGTTGGAGGCAGGAGGAAAGTCCCTACTTTTTAAAGAGTCATTTTTTTTCTTGTAGACGTGAAATGCATCCTTTTGGGGTCAAAGTCAGCATCATCGAGCCAGGCTCATTTGTAACAGGACTAGATAAATGTGCAGCAGAGTTCTTCAAAACCCTCTGGAGCAAAGTATCACCTGATATCAAAGAACTCTACGGCCAGGAATTCTGGAGAAAATGTAAGTTAAAATGTATAAAACCAGGAAAGTACCATTGCCAGCTTAAGTAATCTTGCAGGACTTTATTTCTTATAGCCTAAGCTTTCGTGAACTACAATTCATTTCATGAACTATTCTCACAAGAACAACACGTGAGTCTAAGTGTGAGCACATTTCCATTTATGTTTAAAAAAGGCCGATGAGCTCTCAGGGTGGAAAGAGGATATATGGAGTTAGGGGGCTGGTACCCAAAGCAAAAACAAAACAAAACTGGATGGCAAGAGAAAAAGAGGGATTATCACTTTTGTGGTGGATAAAAATAGATGATATTTTTACAATTTAAATCGGATTTTTTTTTAAATCGAATTTATCAAATTCAGTGCTTTTGGAGTAAAAATCTATCTAAAGATAGCTTTCTATTTAAGATACATTAATAATTTAGTTTATTCAGCATGAAATGAAGCTTAGTTATGTAGAATGAGGCTGTATATTCTGCAATATTTACATTTTTGGTAAACTCATTCAATGAATCCAAGCTCTGAAAGCTGAGATAACATGCACTGCATTGATGCACTCCCACAATTTCACAGCAGAGATAACAATTGCTCTTTAAAAATTGAGATTTAAATCAAGTTGATTTAAATCAAGCCTTTTTATTAGTGATTTAAATCATGATTTAAATTGTGATTTAAATCAACTTGATTTAAATCATGATCTACCCTGCTTATGTCTGTGATGCTTTAGAGCAGGGGTCCCCAACCTGTGGGCGGCCAGTGCGCGTGGGTGCATGTGCATGCACACACCTCCGCTCATGCTAGCATCGCCATGAGCATAGCACGGGCATTTGCAGCCCCGTGCATGCATGCATAAAGGCACCTGACCCTCCCCCTCCTCTGGGCCACCAACTCAGAAAGGTTGGAGAACTCTGCTTTAGAGCCACACTTCAACCTTAGATTCAACCACCACTGAGAACAAAGTCCCACTCAGTTCCAAAGGGGCAGGATTTTGCTCATAAGAAATGGGTGCATCTAGTAGACCTGCATGCAACTCTATTAAAGAAAACCACACCCTTCTTGGGGTCTTTATGATGTAGCATCCCAGTGAAGTGAGAGAAATGAAGAAATTTGTATTTTTGTTTTACAAAACAAAGAGCATCCCACTACGGACTGCTGCAATCATAAAATCTTCCACTGGCCCTGAACGTGTTGGACCAGCAGATCTCCAAAATATCTTCCAACCCATTCATTCTATGGTTCACCAAATAAGCATGTTAGAATATTTCCAATTGTTGACAACTATCCCCAGAAAAAGTATGTTGTTTCCTTATTGATTTTTCCTCAAAAAGGTGGTGGCTCCCAGGACTTCTGGTTTGAGCTTCTTCAGCGACAGACCGAAACCTTGTCTCTGCGAGGCTTCGATCCGTGCGTGCCGCTGGAGCACCCCAAGCCGGCTGGTTTCGGGGCTAAGCCACCCCGTAGAGGTGGTGAAGAGGGGGGAGACTGCCAGCAGGGTTGAGGAGAGCCTCATCTCTCCTCCCCAGCTGGCCATTACTCCCTTTCCCGAAGGCGGTTTAGGTCTCCTAGTTGTCAATATAAGGAAGGAGAGAGAAGGAAAAAAACCCAAACCTTTCCCTTTTCACATTCTTTCGCTGCTTCTGACTCTTCTTTGGGAGCGATGTTATTTTTTGTAAAATTTAGATTCCAGGGTACCTTAGTTGTTGCTTTTTCAACTTAACCCGGTCAGCCAAAACTTTCACTTCTTATCTTCCTCCTGCACGTTCTTTTCCGGTTGAGTTCTTTGAGGTGGCCATTTCTGACCACCGCTCCTACCGCCTTCGGGAAAGGGAGTGATGGCCAGCTGAGGAGGAGAGATGCAGCTCTCCTCAACCCTGCTGGCGGTCTCCCCCCTCTTCACCATCTCTACGGGGTGGCTTAGCCCCGAAACCAGCTGGCTCGGGGCGCTCCAGCGGCGAGCCCAGGCAGAAACCGCGCACGATCGCGGATTCCTGTCTGTCGCCGAAGCCCTTCAAACCGGAAGTCCCAGATGGAAGCATTTTTGTTCTATACAATTGACTAGCCTAACTGCACCGGATTGTTTTTTCAGGCACTTTCCAGCTTACAACTAAGGTAGTCCCAAAGGCACTTTTTCAAGAAGCAACTGGACTTCCTTGTTATTCTTTTTAAATGTTTTGCTACTCATCCAAGAAGCTTCTTCAGCTCTGACTGGATAGTGGGGAATGGAAGGACCATCCAGTCAGAGCTGAAGAAGTTCCTTGGATGAGAAAGGAAACGACTTCAAAGAAAAACAAAGAAATCCAGTTACCTCTTGAAAATGCACCTTTCGAACAACCATGACTTGGATGACTGAGCATCTCCATAGACCTACAACTATAATAGCACTAGCTCTGGCTCGTAGTTGTTAGCTTGGTAACCAAAGAATTGAAATGGGGAAGAGGAAGGTATCATTATATCAGGCAGGAATCAGTAAATGGAAAATTATACATTACCTAATTCCTGGTCCAGTCTATTTCATTTTCAAAACAAAATGGGGGGGGGGTGGCTATGCATATAATACAGGTAATCCTAAACTTACAACAGTTCATTTAGTGACTGGTCGAAGTTACGATGACACTGAAAAAAGTGAGTTATGACCATTTTTCACTCTTATGACTGTTGCAGCATCCCCATAGTCACGTGATTTACATTCAGATGCTTGACAATTGACCCACATTTAACCCTTTTTGCGACTTATTTTATATATATAAAATGATTGGCAGCAGTGCAGCAATAAGCTGCCCCAAATTTAAATCTGAAACCACTGTAAAAGTCTGACTCACAGACGGACACAATACAGAAGCCTGATGATGGCAGATGAGATTCTGCTGAAACGTTGCTACAACTTTAAAAGCACCACTACTATGACGTGGGAAAATACCCGAACAAAGCTGAAGGCCATACATGTAAGTACCCGCGAAAACTTAAGAAAACAAATATCAAACCTCTACGGGGAGGGATTAAACAGCCAGATCAAAACCTACGAGAAACTGGAAATTAAAAGAGCAGGAATACTATGTGACCTCCAATTCCTACGCAGCTGCAGAGACAACAATACTACACCAACCTGCTTCAAATTAACATTTCATCAAAGCACAGCAGCCACTAAACGTATCCTGAAAAGAACTGAAATGGCTTTACTAAGGAACGAGCTCCACAGTAAGAGATTCCAATTAGATCAGTTAAACAAAGATTTGCTAGCACTACACCTGGAATTGAGCAGCAAAATCCACCCTCTACTTTGGGACAAGATAAAACAACTCACAACTTGGAGATCAGAATCTGCAAGCACTTACAAACAGGAAAAACTCTTGAAAAAATTAAAGAAATTAGAACATGACAAGAAAACCCCCAACAACTCACAACAACACCTGAATCAATTAGTGTACAATGTTTCCAACAGGGAACTCACCAAACAGAAACAGAAGTCCTAACCAAAGGATTCAACTATGCTATAGCACCCCAAAAAATCCCCACAGAATCCATCATATGTGCAGTAGAATCCAGCCTAACTAAATTAAATACAGATGAAGCTGATAAAATAAGACACCAAGTTACCAACATCCTATGCACAAGCAAACCACCCAAAAGCAACTTGCAGCAAAATGAAATTAAAGCGCTACAAACCCTGAAAAGAGACAGCAGCATAATCATCCTCCCAGCAGATAAAGGGAATGCCACTGTAGTAATGGACAGAAAAGACTATGAAACAAAATTGACAGACCTACTCCAAGACTCCACATACAAACCCATAAACACAGACCCAACCACATATCTGGAAAAATTAACCAAGAAGAAAATTATAACCAGCCACATAAGCAAAGAGATCCAACACACGATCATACCCAGAGAGAAATCTTCCAGATGCCCCAAACTATACGGCCTCCCAAAAATACACAAAGAAGGCATACCTCTCAGACCCATAGTCAGCTCCAGAGGAGCACCACTACAAAACCTAGCTAAACACCTAGCAAAAGAGCTACAGCCCCATGCTGAAACAGCAGCTTCTCATGTAAAAAACTCATACCACTTCTTGGAAATGATCAAAGATCTACACGTGGAGCAAGAAGATCTGCTTGTAAGTTTTGACGTGGTTTCACTATTCACTCAAGTCCCGATAAAAGAGACCCTTGAAATCATCAAAAATAAATACCAACCAGCTAAACACCTCATGGAACTAACAGAACACTGCTTAACCAACACATATTTCATATACAAAGGACAAAGATACAAACAAATAGAAGGAGCTCCCATGGGATCACCACTGTCACCTGTCATTGCAAACCGGTTCATGGAAGAATTCGAATCCAGAGCCCTGGCCAATGCCACCCTCGAACCCAAACTATGGTTAAGATACATCGATGACACATTCGTGATTTGGCCCCATGT